CCCTCACTCTCCCATCGCCCCCGCCTCCCAAGCACCATAGAAGGCACAGGTGGCTTTCTGTTCAGTCTTTATTTACAACAAAGTACATTGCATGTGGCCATTCCTGTAACTGAACAATTGAGACTCGGTTAGGAGGCAGAGGGGGGAGCAAGCGTCTCAAAGAAAAAGGCCCAAGTCCCTCCCCAGCTGGGCTCCGCCACACCTGCCACCTGCCCACCTGCGAGGGAGGTGGGGCCAGAGATCAAAGGGGCTCTGAGCTCCACTCAGCCCAGCGACGCCCTCCCTTGTCCCACCACCCAGAGGATGGGGTGAAGGGCAGAGCCTGCCCCCCACCCGCCAAACCCAGCACTCAGGTGACCCTCCACCAGCTGGGCTCCAGCCCCTCCCACTCCCCACCTGCCTGCAGCCTGACGCAGTGGCCTGAGACTGGTGACCCATTGGCACCCAGACAAGTGTCCAATTGAGCCCAGGGGACAGTAAGCCAGTGGCCATGCAGCCAGGAGCGGAGCAGAGCGGCACTGCAGGCCGCTGTTCTAAAGGGGGCGCTGGAGACCCTCCCGTCACCGCCCTCGGCCTCCGAGCTCCTGTGGTCTCCCAGGGCCACGCCACCCACTCCCCACAGGACACCCGAGGTCAGCACCTGCGCTTCCTCACACCGCCCCCACCTCTGCTCCCACTGGCTGGGCTGCCCACAAGAGGCCGCAGCAGGAGCTCCGTGAGCCTGAGGGAGTGCGGGGCCAGGCCTTCCGGGGGCGGCTGAGGCTTCATGCCCGTTTCTCACTCGCCTGGTCTGCGGACAATGCGTGGGAGGATGTGCAGAGGGAGAAGCCAGCACCATGGGGCTCTGAAGCCAAGACGCCCGTGGCACGACCAGCATCACCCACTGCTCGCGGCTGCCAGTCCCGGAGGGCAGATACCAGGTGACGCGGTCGTGGCCTAATGACTCTCCGGTGCGAGCAGAGACCCAGCGGCTCTCGAATGCCAGCCCAGGATCTGTCCACAGAAGCTCAAGTTCAGCCTCAGTTGGCGAAATGCTGGGCTCGGCAGGGCTTCCCCTTTCCTGGCCCAGGACACAGGGTTCCCAGAACCGGGCCATGGTCAGCACCGCCAGCGAGTGTGGCCCGGCGCCCCCAGCAGAGCCACTGAGAACTGGAGATGGTTTTACCAGGAGGCCGGGCAGCCCACAGCGGCTTGGCCCCCACACCAAGGGTGGACGAGGCGGCTACAGAGTCAAGGCTGAGATGAGAAAGCCCACCTTCCGAGGCAGGGGGACCCACAGCCAAGGCACTAAATGGTTTGGCACCTGGGAGCTTCAAGTAAAGTTGAGGGTGCTACCGCTGACAGACAGGCCACGGCTCCGGCACAGGCCTGCCCTCCACGCTTCACCTCAGAGCCGTGCAAGGCAGGATGGGAAAGGTAATGAACACTGATTCTGAAACCCAGCACCTCCGCCCGGAGCCCTTGGAGCCCCTGCCCCACCAGGCAGCTGCAGGGTCAGGAGCACCCTCAGGCCTGTGACACGTCTCCCCACTGTCTCAGGGGCGGCAAAGCTCTTTTGGGGTTTAGGTTTGAAACAGCAAAACAGAATTAGAGTCTAATCAGGCCCAGAAAAGGGGGGGTCAACACGGATGGTGCTCGCGGGGCACGTGGCAGATGCACCTGAACGGCTCCCATGGGCTCGGCAGCATCGGGAAGGGAAGGGCAGGGCCCCCCAGAACACTCAGGCAGGGCAGCCATGGAGGACAGGCTGAGGGTGTGGCAATGAGAAAGGGAGGCTGTCTCTCGGGCAGTTACAGGCTGGGGCGCGGACTCTAATCAGACCTCAACTGTTCCCCCCACTTCTTGCACCCCCTCCCGCCAGAGTCCAAGAACCTGCTTCTTCCAAAGCTACTCATATTCGCCAAGAGAAAGACCCTGGGAAAGACGGAATTCTCCACCCCAAGCCTTTCATCCCGAGACTCCAGCTTAGGACCTAAATGCCATTTCCCGCCTCCCCCCACGCCCAGCGCTGCCACACCCGAAAGGCAGCCCATCTGCGATGCCGCCAGCGATGACGCTGCCTAAGGTGTGTGCCACCCCATCTCATTGCAAATCCCCGCATCTCGGGGACAAAGCCACTGTGCCGTGCACGGGCAGAGCTCTGTCGCCGCCCTGTGAGGGGCTGCCAGCTGCCCTTCTGCCAGCAGAAGTCTCTTCAGCACCCCAACTGCAAGGGACCGCTGTGCGCCCCTCAGTCTGGGAAAAGCCAGGGGAGTCTGGTCCAAAACTCCCTGGGAGTCAGATCCCCACCAGGGACGAGGGACAGGCAGCTCTGGCTCTGGAGACCGAGTCACGGGGGAGTGAGGGAGGCATCACGCCGCCATCCGAGCAGCCAGGGGTGGGCGGAGGGTGGGCCGTTGGAAAGGGCCCCTTCCCTGAGTTAGATTTTTCGGGTGAGGTCTTGCCTAATTTCAACTCAAAAGAAAAAAAGTCTCTCTCATCGACATGTCAGTAAGCTGCAGCTCCAAGCAGTGCATTCGGCAGGCGCTCAGCGTGGGCCACGAGCCCCGTGCTCCCACCTCACAGGCCAGCCCGCCCGCCCGGACGCCGGGGCCACCTGCCCGGGGAAGCTCAGCGCGGGCCCTCCTGCAAAACACTCAGCAGCAAACAGCTTTACAGGATTTTGTACATTTACACAAAAATAGATCCTTTTATATATGCGTGTGTATTGGTAACTGGTACAGGTGGGCACGATTAGGCATCACCAGTGGTAGTTGGCACAGTTCGTCGTGTAAGCTCGGGGTCAAGTTCCGTTTCAAGATCAAAGGCATTTCTTTTCCGTGTTGTTTTCTTAAATAAGCAGAGTCATAGGAAACCGTCTGTACAGACGGCCGAGCCCCTGCCGCCGCCGTGCCCGGGAGCGGGGCAGGGCCCGGGGCGGGTCAGTGCGGCCGGCTGCTGGACTCGGAGGCCTGCCTCTTGCGTGCGGGCGTGCAGCCGTTGAGATAGCCGTTGGTCTGCCGCTTGGACGGCCCTCCGTTGAGAATGTCCTGGATGTGCTGCACGATGAGGTTGATGGCCACTGGGGGGCAGAGACGGGCAGCTGTTAGGGACGCACCGGGGTGGAGGGAACCGCCTCCCCAAGCCCCCCGCGGGGGCTGACGTGACCCCCTGGAGGGTCCCAGAGGAAGACGGGCCATGCCCGGACACGGGGAGCCCTGAATACACGGGCTTCTGAGGTGGGCAGTCCCCGCGGCAGCAAGGCAATCAGCCCGACCCCGTGTGCAGGCGTGAGGACGGGCCTTCTCCACGGCACCACCGGCTGTGACCCGTCCCAAACCCACTGACCCACGGAAGACCCTCTCCTCCAACGACGATCCAACACAGGACTCTCTCTTCTTACCATTAGAAACAATTATGCAAATGATTAACTAACTTCAAAAACAGAAGCACCAAGTGCTTTCTGGGGTGACACGCAAAGAACACGTCTTCCGGGCACTGTCCTGGTCGTGCCAACTCAGCCCCGCCCTGGGGACCCGGACAAACCCAGATGGCAGGCCATTCTACAAAGATCACTGTCGTGAAAAAGACAGGCTGAGGACGACAGGAGGTGGACAGCGAAAGTCTCAGCAAACAAACTAAATGTTTTAAATGGAAAAAATCAACTATAAGAGAATGAGAAGACAGGGTTTCTCCACACCTCTGATTTCGGCCAGGGAATAGCAGTCCACATGTGTGCCCAGTCACACGTGCATAACACAGGGCCGGTGCCCACAGCCGCCGGGCAGGTGGGCATTCCCTTCCGGGGTCCGCGCCCCAAAGCACGACACCCCGAGGACTCACCGAGATTGTCTACACCTCTCGGAATGATCACGTCCGCGTATTTCTTTGTCTGCGGAAAAAGGTATTTAGAACTAAGAGGGGTTCAGAGAGAAACGGGCCCAAGCCGCCCTGGGGGACCGTGGGGAAGGGGCGGCCGTCTCTCCACCTAACCCAGAGGGCAGCAGCGTCAGGCTTCGGACATAATGTTTTTTACCCGCTTTATCTAAATTATAATAAATCAGCCCGGCCCAGGTAGCTAGCTCAGTTGGTTGCGTATTCAATCTCTGGTCAGGGCACATACAAGAACCAACCAATGAATGCATAAATCAGTGGAACAACAAATCATTCTATCTCTCCCCCCCTTCCTCTCTCTCTAAAATCAATCTATTAATCAATCAGCTTTACAAGTTCACATTTGAACGTTCCACATGGTTTCAGTTTACAACCTGCAGGAGGAACGTGGTCTTTGAAACCAAATCTGTAATTGCTTCTTTACCCCCAAGAAAAGTGTGAATTAGTGAAACCCCAACTTCAGGGGAGCAGTCCACCTGGAAGCTCTGCAGCCGGCAGCGCGAGGTGAATGCAGAAAAGGCCTCTGAAGACGGGGCCGGGCCCTGTCACGTCACTTCTTTTAAAAATATGTTTTTATTGATTTCAGAGAGGAAGGGAGAGTCAAAAACATTAATAATGAGAGTCATTGATCGGCTGCCTCCTGCACGCCCCACACTGGGGACGGAGCCCACAACCTGGGCATGTGCCCCAACCGGGAATCAAACCATGACCTCCTGGTTCATAGGTCAACACTCAACCCCTGAGCCACGCTGGCTGGGCTACACTTGTTGTTAAAAGGGTACAATTAGCACAAAATCCTTTTTTATTTCACTTACTGAGATTTTGTGGCCCATTTTCCAAAGAACTGTATCTGGGTGTATAACCGAGGTTTAGGGTGAGACCACATAAACATGAGCCTCTCCAGACTAGAACGGTAACCCGGCCTGACCTGGGCTCTCTCTGGGCACCAGTGGCTGGACCGTGGGAACCAGCAGCAACCACCCAGAAAATGTTTGTGCCGAATTCTGAGCTCACAACTCAGTCAGTTGGCAGAAAACTGGCAGTTAGCTCTAATTCATGTCCAATAATAAATTTAGTTTGCTCTCTGATGACGTGAACAAGAGCAGGAGTCCTCAGTCAGAGGGATGGACAGACGGATAGAATTTCACTGCTCTGCCGCTCAGCCCTCTTCCCAGAAACCTAACCCTGAAACCCAATCCTCAAGGTTACTCCTGCTGACTCAGAGCCTGCCTAACCTGATCGGAAACAAAGTCAAGTCCGTCTGACGCAAGACCTGCTCCTAACAGACGGGAGGAACGAAGGCGGCGGGAAGCTGACTCTCCAGGAAGGGAGCGAAGACCTATGCCTCTTCTCAACACCCTCCCAGCCCCCAGACCCACGGGGACCACCCCGACCAGGCCGAGCCCCCCCCCTCCCCCGCTGAACCATATACCCTTAGGGAGCTAGCCCAGGGCTCGGTCAGCCTGGAGGAGACACGCGGAGTCCCCTTCCTCACGCAGGGCGCCCGGTCCCGGTGGCATTCACAGTCTCCCCAAGAAGCCGAGGACGCCCCCTGCCCTGACCTTCCTGCTCGGAAAGCCTCCTCACTGCCAGGCTGCCGGGGCTGTGCCAGGGCGGGGACGCCCCCCAGCACGGCTCCCTTTCCCGACGGGGACGCATCGGCCGAGAGGAGCTCGCACAGGCTGGGCTGAGTGACCGAGGAGGGTCAGAGGGGAGACCCTGCAGCGGAGCACCCCCACCCCCCGCCCCGCTGCACACTCCACCCACCAGGGACCTTCCTGGGTGCCGGGTGCCCACGGCAGAGGCTGCCCTGAGCTGTGACGTGCCTTCAAGGAAGTGCTCACACCAGGAACCTGGCCACGAGACACAGGCCTCCCGGGACTGAGCAGCACGATCCCAAGGCCCCGACGGTGAGACAGACTGAGGACTGGGGTCGGGCTGCAAAGCACCAGAGGCTGCCCTTCCCGGGGCGTCCGCAGAGGGCGACGCTCCCAGTGAGCTGCGAGCAGGGCGCTGCCTCAGCCCACACCCGTGTGTCTGACTACACCTTACAGTCCAGACTCAACAAAACAGTGAGGGACCGCACTCACCGGCAGGCAGAACTCCTCGAAGGCGGGCTTGACGAAGGTGATGTACTGGGACAAGATCTGCTCCAGGTCCCTCCCCCTCTCGCTGATGTCTCTTAACACTGTAAGAGAAGGGGGAGCAGTGGGAAATGCCGCCAGAGCCGACCCCTGGAGCCAACCCCGACTCCAGGCCTCTGGATGGGCCACACGCTGGGACCCGAGCCATGACCAAGAGCAGGTGAGCAGCGGCTTCGGGAAGACGAGTCCCACGTCTACGCCTGCTGCAGTCAAATTCGGCGAGGGCTCCAGGCTCTGAGCCACGGCTGCACGGCTTCTTGGTTCAAGCAGCATTGGACCTAATAAACTGCACTGTGAACAGGTGAAGAGCAGGGCCGTCCTGGGGAGCCCACAAGGTGGTGGGCTTCCTGGCGGAGGGGCACACCGCCCACCTGCCTCCCGTCCCCGCACCTGTGTGCCGTCAGCGACCCTCTGCTGTCAGCCTGTCCCACTCGGTCATGCACAGAGGTTTGCAAACAGACGACAACTTAGTGAGAAACGAGGAAACCACGGTGCAGGGAACGATGGGTTAACCCTGGGGAGCAGCCCAGACTAGGCAGGGTGATGCAGGGACATTCAAACACCTTTTTTAACAGACTCATTTGTCCAAAACGGAGAGGGTCTGCCAGACAAAGCACTGAGCCATAGCTCTGCCAGAGCACGGGCCGCCCCAGCCTGTTTCCCCAAACTCAGCAGTGAGCTGAGAGGTCAGTCTGTCCGTCAAAACAGCCCCCCTGCCCTGGCCAGGTGGCTCGGTTGGTTGGGGCGTCTTCCCGTGCACAAAGGGTCACAGGGCTGATTTCCGGTCAGGGCACATTCGGGAGGCAACTGATCGCTGTTTCCCTCTCACATGGATGTTTCTCTCTCTCTCTCTCTCTCTCTCCCTCTCTCCCTCTCTCTCTCTCTCTCTTTCTCTCCCTTCCTCTCGATCTAAAATCAATTGAAAAAATTTAAAAACAAACCAACCAAAAAAACCAGCCTCCCCCTACAGATGTCACTCTGAACCTTGGTGCACGAGCTGTGAGATCTTTCCCCCCCAAAATGGCATCACACCCACCCCCAGCCAGCTCTCAGGGCACAGCCTGGGGGATGGGATGAAGCCGCTGTGAACGGACACAGGGAGCTTGTGAGCGAGTCTGGGAAGTCACATCTGACCAATCCTGCTTGCACACACCTATGCACATGGACGCGCATGATCGGGAGGGGCAGGGGAGCGGGGGGAGGGGAGGGTCGTGGCTGTGACCCAGGCTGGCCGGGGCCAGTGTCCAGGACCACAGTCCAGAGCAGGCGCCACTGCTACGCCCCGACTTCCTCCAGCTCCTCCGAGGTGAGCCCAGGGAATAAGCAGTGGGTTGGTCCCTAACCTCCCTAAGCAGTCCTCCCTAACCAGTCCTCCCTAATCTCCCTAACCAGTCCTCCCTAACCTCCCTAACCAGTCCTCCCTAACCAGCAAGACTTGCCTGGCGACCCTGACTGTCCTCCAGACCAGAGCAGGCTGTCCCGAGAAACGGCCCTTCCCCCAGGGCATTCCGACACAGGGTCTGCAGGTGGGGACTGGCCAAGACACACAGCAGCGTCACCAAAGAGGAAGCCAGAGCCTAAGGCTATGGGAGCTGAGACAAAGCAAAGGCCACCGCAGCCAGCTTACTCACAGCCCTGCAGGAGCCCGAGGCGGTCTCACAAGGCAAGCTTTTCACACAGCCGACCTCTCCTGGACAGGAGTCCGACCTCGCCCAGCCCGTGTGCACACACACGCACATGCACACGCACACGCACTCACATCCTCAGCCCAGGCCTGCAGCCCATGCCCCGCACACCTAACAGCTCCTCCCGTCAATCGCTGGAGGGGCAACAGGCAGGGAAAGCAGGTGGCCACCTGTGTCTACTCCCCAGCCCAGAAGCCGCTGGCCCCCACCGAGGCGGCCTCTGCTCTCGGCCGTTCCCGCCTCTGAACGACGGTGACAGGCCCTTCCTCACGCTGTCATGAAGGGACACAGGGTGAGGGGCGCTGGGCCCGCACGCAGCATGGGTGCAGAGCCTGGGAGCTTCAGGACCAAGTGGGCACCGTGAACTGAGGGGAGCGGTCAGACCAGCCGAGAGCCGGAGCCTGCACAGCAGCTGGGAGGTGGGGTGGGTGCAGTGCGGGAAGGGACAGCAGGACACACACAGCATATATATACACACGTGCATCACACAACACGCACACACAGAGAGACACACGCACACACATACATCACACAACACACACAGACACACACGCACACACACGCGTGAGGAAAGGAAGGCCTCTATGGTTTCTACCCTGGACGCTGGGACCCTGGACATCTAAAGGCCGTCCGCCTCGCCCCCTCTCCCGGGTCCCTCCAGGGCACTGTCTCCTTGGACGGGATGGACCCTCCTGCTCCTCGCTGTTGGGACGTGGAGAAAGTCGAGGGCTGAGTCCAGACAAGCTCTTGGCACAAAGTGGGAACTCCAGGACTCACAGCCGGCTCCTGGCCGGCACTGTGACCCGCACAGCTGTGCCAGGACAGGCCCAGGCGGGGGTGGGTCAGGGCAGGACGGCGCATGTCCACCTACATTCCCGCCGCGGCGCCCACCGTGCCCCTTCCGCTCAGCCAAAGCCCGGACACCACTCCGTGGACCCGTAACAAATACGCTTCCTCGTGGCTGCGTCACTTCACTTTCAGTGCCGCCCCAGGGCTCTTCCCGGGGTGGGGGAGGGGGGGGCAGGGGTGAGTGACCAGAGGTCGGGGGGAAGGAGGCCCCTCGAAGACGTCTCTCCGGATTGCATGACGCAGAGCAGGCGCCCCGCCCACTCGAGGAGTGACAGACAGATAAGCCACGGCCTCACTCAGGCTGCAGGAATGTCCCGTGCCCCGCAGCTGCTCCTGTCTGCCCCTTCCGGGCAGCCCTGCCCCCACAGAGCCCCTGCCCGGCCGCCCTCCGTCCCAGGCTGCCCTCCGTCCCACGTGGGCAGAAAAAGGATCTGAGAAACAGCACGCCGGGAAAGTCCCACAAGTGCACCAGGGAAGTGACTCACCAGTGGGCGCACGAGAGGACAGGCCCTCAAGGGACGCAGCACCTTCCCGGGGAGACAGGGAAGGTGGGGCTGTAGAGCTAAGCCCTCAAAACCCCAGGGGCCGCCTCCCCACCTCCCCCGACTCTGCAGAATGGTCAGGACAAACGAGGGACTTCCTGTTCGATCTCCACCGCCTCCTTACACTCTCACCTGATCTCACCAACTCCTGAGGCCAGTCCCCACAGAAGGACGCCTCCCACCTCAGGCAAAGCGGATTTCCGGTCTCCACAGACACTGATTGATTGATGCCCCGCGCTCACATCACCTGCATCACCTCCAACCTCACAAGCAGCCCAGGAGGACCCACTATCAGGTGATCGATAGGAAGAGGACGTCTGAAGAGGTGAAAGCACAGTGTGCCTGAGGGCACCCAGCGACTTGGCTCAGTCCACATGGTTCCTCGTGCCTCCGCTGCCTCCCTGAGGTGCGAGCTCACGAGCTCACGTGGCCCTGGCAGACCTCCAGGCAGCTCCCAGGCGGCTGGGTGTGACTTAAGGATCAGCCAGGCCCTGAGGCAGGTGCATGAGGAAGTCAGGCTCGGGCACAGCTGTCAGGACTCCTACCTGGCCAGTCTCAGCCCTAAAACCCAGATGTCTCCCGATTACCCAGAGAGAGATCCACCAACATCTCAAAACCAGCTGGAGCCCTGCTTTTTCCGTCACAGAGCTCTGCTCCCCCCACGCACCCCCAGCCAGCAGTGTGGATCCCGCTACTACTTGGGCGGCAGAACCCTGGACTCGCTTCTCCACACGTGGCTGGGTCCATGTGCAGCTCTTGCAGTAAGACCTCAGAAATGAATCAGCTGCAAATGGTTCACAACCGGGCACACTTCCCAGATGCCGAGGTCAGAGGCTCTGGGCTGGCACTCAGCAGATCCGACTGCCGCTGGCTGCTCGGTGCCGAGGGCTCACCTTGTCATTTCCTGTCTCCACGAGGCCTGCATCAGCCTTCATTCCCTCCTCGCCCCCACGGCACTGCCTCCGCAGGCCCTCTCATCTCTCCCCAGCTCCCCTGTGACGACGACAGCGCGCCTGTCGCCCGGATCAGTGACACAGCCCTCCAACAGCCTGTGCAGTCTTCACGCATGTGCGTGTGCCTTTGTGGGTGGCCCCCGCCCCACCCCACCATAGCCGAGCCCCAGCCCCTCCTCCACGCAGCCTCCTGCACTCTCTGCCCGATGCCCCAGAGCTGACTGTGGACTCAGCTCCCAGACCACGAGAGCTGTGATCACAGGACACAGGCCACACTCAGTAAGGCCCGCAGCGGGGACAACCGGCTTTGTCTGAAGCCGCTGGACAGTGACGGGACCTAGAGAGCTTTCTGGAAACCAAGGGGCTAGAGAAGCAGGCTGTGGAGAAGGCACCGGCGCTGCCGGCAGGGTCCCTGCCCAGCTCTGTCTGGACCAAGGTGCTGTGGGAACCTCACAAGGAACAGAGCTCTTGATCAGACGCTTCTCTAGAAAAACCGGAATAAGTCTCCTCGCTCATCTCCGTGAGCTCACAAGCTTTCGCTACCCAGGGACTAGTCCCTTCTCAGATGTCACCCAACGTTGGGGCAGCAGGAGCCTGGGCCCGGGGGCAGGAGGCCGCGCACGCACCTCTGCGGGAGAGCCGGGTGTCCGCGTCCGTGTCCACGAAGAGCTTCATCTGGAACAGGTCGCGCACCTCCTGGGAGTAGAAGGCCAGGATGCCTTCGAAGAGCACCACGTCCGCGCGGTAGACGGTCACCGTCTCCTCCTTCCTGCACACAGAGCGCCGGGCTGAGCGCTGGGCCGGGGCCGGGGCAGGACTCCCAGGGACGAGCTAGAGCCTCAGGGGAGCCCGCGGTCCTCTCTCAGACTTAGCAGAGACCCAGCAAAGGCGGTGACAGCGGGACAAAGGGCTCCTCTGACCGACCTGAGCTTCCACTCAGGCAGAGACACCTGCTGTGGACGGAGAAGGGAGCGGACAGGAGCAGGCGGGGCTGCAGGAATGGGCACGGCCTGCATCCCTGAGGCTTTCAGAGGCCTGGCTCTCAGTTTCCTCCAACAACCCGCCCTTCCCCAGACCTGGGAAGGACGGAGGGACGGAGGGAGGGCCCGAGCGGGGGAGGGCCAGAAGACAGCTCCAGCGACTCCTCAGGGACCATCCCCTTTGGTAACGGACGTGTTCCAGCTGCTCCAAGAAGCGCCGGTGACACCCCGACCTGCTCATTGGGGTGCGCAGGCTGCTGTCACTGCCCTCCCCGCCAGGGCGCCCTGGGCACGGCAGGGAGGACAGGGCCGGGACCCCAGGCGCAGAGGACACCCGGGCCGCTCACTCACCGGGAATGGGTGACAAAGTCGTACACGGGGATCTGCACAGTTTTCCCCTCGATGATTTCTTTGAGAGTTTTGAAGATGAGCTCATTGTCAAAGGCATCTGAAGGAGACCAGCCGGTTAATGTCCTTCCTTTTTAAGTGACTTCTCCTGTCCCGTGCACAGGGCAGCCCTACAAACCCGGGAGCTCCGCGTCTCAGCACAAGACTGAGCTCTGAGAAGAGGGTCTTCCCTCTGCTTGGCAGCGGGGAGCGGGCATATGTCAGCCCGGAGAGCTCCCGGGGCCAGGAATGCCCCCGGGACCGGGGGAGCGGAAGGCATCGTGCGCACAGCTCCGATTCTCACTAAGAACGCCCCGCTGAAGGGGCAGCGTGCTAACCTGAGCTTCAGGGAAGCCAACCCCAAATGAAGTCGAACCTACAGGCTTTGTTTAAAATGAGCCACAAAAAAACAGGCAAAAGCTGTTCAGGCACCCCCCCCCTGGCCCCCCCATCTTCCTCCTGGCAATCAGGTGACAGCTTCACCCCCAGGCGTGTCCGCGCAGTGCGGGTGCTGAGGACAGTGAGGCGAGGACACAGGACAGCGTGCAGGTCTCGCCTGGGTCTGGCTCACCCCCACAGAATGGCTCTCGTTCAGGACAGATGCCACCAGAATTGGGGAGCCACGCACTGCAGGATGAGAAGCCCCCAGAACCCTGCAAGGCACCAGCACCCTCCGTCTCCGACGGAAGCAGGGAAGTCAGGCGCTCCCGCCATCCTAGCTTCACCCCTTTCA